TTTTACATGACTGGTGTGGTTTCTTTTTTTCCCCAGAATTTGTTTTTCTTTTATAGTTTTACTTGTCTGCAACTCAGTTTATATTCCACAATTTTGAAGTGTTTTAGGTTGAATTACTGATTTCTGTAGAAGCTGGAGTAATCTTTCTTTAAGTAATCCTTACTTAATATGACTTTTTGGTTTTCTGTAGCAATGATATTATGTATCCTTGGGTTGTGATCCACCAGTTTCCGAACTAATGATTAGTTCTGCCTTGACTCTGTGTTTGTACAATAAATATTTTTGTGAGGGCTTCTCATGATACACCTTCTGTTCAAGATTTTCCAAGTTCAATACGATCAAGTTTGAGTGTTTATGCTGAGTGTGTAAGAAAATATGAATTTTGAATTCAGAAAATGTTTATGCTGAGCATATAAGAAAAGCTAAATTTTGAATTCAGACAGTTCTGTCAGTGATTTAGAGAATGACCTGAAATAGCCTTGTCTTTTCTTGTGTGCTTTGCTTTTAACGGTTGCAAAACAAGAAGGGCTATTGCAAAACAAGCTTGAGTTAAACGGTGTACTTCCAGAAAAAACTTTTTGTGATGAGAGGTAGATTTTCTTGATCTTTGTTATATCTACTGCAGCACTAAACACTGTTTGAATGCATTTTTTTTCATGTGCGTACAACCTAATACTTAGAGTTTTCTTCAAATTGTTACTACTTTGTTGCTTGGATAAATTAGTTATTTTCTGTTTGGTAGAGCAATCCAATTTTTGGAAGGAAAAAACAGCACCAAAAAAACATACTACTTAGATTATGTTTCCAGAGGTATTAATTAAATTAGCCATTTTCATTAACTTGAACTTCTGTGTCATTGCAACAGTAATTAGGCATTTTTGTTGTGCAGGCATCAGTATGCTCTGACTTCTCAAAGTTACTGGTTTCTGTTTCAAATCATAGCCTGTTTAGCTTGTCTTAATTTTAAAATTTGCCATCAAAAGGGCTTCTGGATACAATGCAGCATAAATAACAGTGGTGATTTTTTTTAAAAAAGAAAGGTGGACCTAGTAACTACCAACTTTAAGCATGCATAAATAAATCAGTAGCTTTCACTCTGGAGCAAAACGTGGAAATTCCACCCCCCAAATAATCCATGTTCAGCTTGGTGGTGATTATTGTCAGAATTGTTGTCCATCAGTCCAAAAAATGGAATGTTTCTCAAAGCCAGCAAAATCAACTAATACTTCTTATTCTTGGCTTTACTAACTTGACACCCTGTTGCCAAATAATCAATTGCACGTTCAAAGCTAGTGCTTAAGCTGTTCCTTTCTCTCTTTTTATTTCATCAGGACTCTTGCATGCTAGGAATTTAAATTCTTAGAGTCTGCTTAAAGTAAGAGATCTCCTCTAGCTAAACTTCCCTGAAATCATTTATAACATAACTTTGCAACCTGTTTGTATGTATTGTTTTCTTTTCTTCCACCTTGGCTGCAAATTCTCTCAGGTCTCCGCTGGTTCATCCGCCAAGCCATGGATGCCGCTCGACTCACAACAGCCCAATTCACACTGCTACTGGCTCACGACTTACTCAGAACTTCTCTGTGTCTGTTCCCACTCTCATCTACACTGGTACGAGACTGCTCAGACTCAAGAGCTGGGGAGAGGCAGGCCACAGGCACAGTGGTCGCAAAGTGCAGGCAGGCAGGCAGTGTAGGCAGGTACCACCCATCTTTTCTCCCTCATTTTCTCATGAAGACACCTTCTGTTGTCAGTGGAGAACTACTCTGTGTGCAGCTGCTGCAACAAAGGCAATAGTTTCTTGAAAATACCTCAGTCTCTTCCACAAAGCCACACTCCTCATTTCTTTTTATCGTGCTTACTTCCTAAGAAATTAAGTAAAAATAAGTTGATGTATCTGAGAAACATTCTCTATTTTACAGTCATTGGAGGAAATCACGTTTTGATTGGAGTTCGTAGTTGCTTTTGAGCATGATTCAGATCTGGTATTTAGGTTTTAAAATGCTCATAGAAAGGGTATGTGCCATTTGTGGAAGAGATGGTTTTAGAGAGCAGGTAAGTCAATCTGTGCATAAGTGAACCGTTTGTCAATCTAGTCGTTCCCGTAAAGGTTCTCCTCTTTGCTCTGTTTTTAGCTGTGGCATGCTGCTGATGCTATAGGATAAGGAAACATTTTTTTTTTTCCTTTTTCTTAAAAGGCATATGTGTGTGTATACATAAATGTATAAATATGTATAAACACAAATATAATTTGAAATCATTTTTTCTTTATTAAACTAACTCAAACCATTGTGTATCTGACCAGATTTTTAAGCCATAAACTGTTTCAGTTTTTTCTTTTGCATATATATATATTTTTTTGTCACATCTCATGCCTTTCATTTGGCTTAATTGTTTCATTTTAGATTATCAGCATCTATCTGTAGAATGCTGAATGGGTAAAACAGTGTTTCTTTGCCTCTGGCCTCATCCCCAGTCTCGCACCTAAGGAATAGCTGCTGGCCCTGCCCCAATCCCATCCTGGTGTTTGGATCATGCTGCTGTCAGCCAGGTCCTTTGGCACAGGATTACTGAATATGTTTCCACCTTCTTCTGGCAGGATTCCCTTCAATGAAGATCCCAATCCCAATACTCATTCATCAGGACCCTCCACCCCTCTGAAAAACCAAACCTATTCCTTTTCACCTTCCAAGTCCTACAGTCGACAGTCCTCTTCTTCTGACACAGATTTGAGTTTGACACCCAAAACTGGTAAGGCGCTTCCACCCACTTTTTGTTTAATTTGTGTTTCTCTTTTTATATTTTCATTCAACCCCTTTTTGCTTTTTGGCCTTTAAGTTATCAAAATGATGTGGAAATTGGAGACTTCAGATAGCACGCCTCAAGCTTGAAACAATTTCTATAGAGTGAAAATTTAGATCCTACCTGTAGTTCCACCATTCTGGATAACGTTAAAATGACATCTGTAACACAACTGCATTCAAGTCAAAATAAAACATCTCAGAGCATTAAGGGAGTCCTAAGTAATTGCCTTTTTCTTATTTCCTCCATTTCATATTACAAATTATGGAAGTACATTTCTCACCACAGTATGTTCAGGACAGTGTTACTAAAACTATGTAGTCTTCAAGCCTAATGCATTGCGCTAAAAGTATATTGTATACATTTCTCTGTGGTTTTTTTTTTAACTCTTTTTTGCAAGTGGAATGCTAGAAATGTAGCAGCTACTGTCTTTTCATTCTCCTTGGTATATGGAAATGGCTTTACATACGCAGTATGCATTTTGAAAGTAACTTAAATTGTACTCCAGCCATCTTCAAAAAGCATTTTTCTTTCTTCATTGGTCTATCATAATTTCTTCAACTTGTTTTTTCCTTCCTTCTCTCTTTTTTCAGTCTGTGGTTAGAATCATGTCAGCAATAGCACAACTCAAAGAGTTATTGTCTGTTTATTCTCCATTATGTGACCAGTGCCTTGAGTTTTGCTGTTGTAGGGCCAAGTATTTTGCAGAGTGGTTTATAAGTTTCATTGCTTTATAAATTATGGTATTTGAAACTCAGAACATTCTTGTCTCCATCTATGCTAGACAATTTTAAGCATGTTTAAGTAGTTGATCTAGCTTTGCCTGATAGCATCCCTTTCAAGAATTTTTCCAAGCAGATAAGTTAAATCTTGCATTTAAATGCAGTTATATTAAATATTTTACCCAATTTATTTCCTAGATACCTGTTAAAAAATGGTCTGAATTAGGAAGCAGTCTTTCTTAGTACTATATTTTCTGTCCCATTTTTAAAAAAACAAGCAAACACACAAAACTGCATGTTTTTTTTTTTTTAAAAAATTAACCGTAGGTGGTCACTTGTTTAAAGGACCTACAAATATAACTGGATGCTTACTACGTAGGAGAACCACAAATTCGTGTATCTGGCTTACTGAATATTTGAAAACCTGTTTGTTTTGATCAGATTTTCCATGGTAAGGATCATGTCATGTAAAGGATTTAAATATAATGTAGATGGTCATCTTTATAGTTGTAAACATTCTGAATTTTTGAAGGTGGCAACTCGCTGTGAATTTGTCAAGCTTGCAAAGCAGCAGTCTCATGTCATTCCTGGCAATGTTACGTAGGTGGATGGGCCCTCTCGTCTTCAGTCAGTTTGTTCAGAACTGAAACAGATTGTGTAATTGGTACCTCTTATTTTTAGGGATTTTTCAAGTATATGAATATATTTTTAGCTATCTTTTTAGTTTTAACACTAACAGTGGGCATACTTTGGCTTACTAGCACTGTCCTTTTAGCAGCTTTTAACTCTGCTGCTGAAACTTAAGAGGATTTGGTGGTTGCATTTAAAAAAACCTCCCTATGTTCATGTTACATACTAGACTTTGAATCCTAATAGCTTGAAAAGACAGTATCCTCTTGAATTTTGTTTTACATTTTACCAAAAATTGGATGATGTGCGGAAGATACAATTCACTGTACATGTTCAGACCTCTGTTGTCAATTCCTAAGACTGTTACTAAATTGGCGTACTTCAGCGTGAAAGCTGGTGATGTTAGTGTTTAAAAAAAGTAAATGCAAACCTCTAATGTGACACATTAAACTATCAAATTAGAGATACATGTTGCTCAGATTGGCTGATGTGAAAAAATGAAGTATTTTCTGATGTTTCTGCAGTACATTATGTTCATCTGTTTCTCAGTCAGATAGCTACTGTGTTCACATGTTTGAGATGGAGACTAACCTGGGAAGAGTGCAGATACCACAATGTCACAATACAAATAACAAATGGAAGAGACTGAAACTTAGATCTGCTTAAACATCTCGTTTTCATTAGCTCCAAATCAAGAGATTATTACCCTAAGGTCTTTTGTAAAATATAGTTGTGATTGTATTATCCATTCTGATCTACGTCTGGTCTAAATATGAGAGGACGTTATTCTGTGCTGTGAAAGCTTGTTTTGGTTTGAAGTTGGACAACTTCTGTGAAGAGTGATATATTTTATGCCACTGCAAACTAATAGAAGATCAGGCTGAAAAAGCACGACATTTTAATTAGGCAGTACATTTTGATGTGACACAGTATATGTTTGGAGGAAATAGAGAAAGCGGATACTCCTTTTAATTGTGAGAACTTAAAATTCTACAAGACTTATGGCTCTACAAATCATGAAACAAATCCATGACTTCTCTGGAAAATAACTTTTTATACCTAAATAATGAAAGTAAGCAGATCGAGTGTGTGAGGAGACTGTGTTATTTAGCCTTTACTCCGTAGTATTTGTTACCAAATTTTGTATAAAATTTAAAAATAAATGTTAGATTACCATGGTGTTTAAAAAAAAATAATTTAAAAATAAAGTTAACCAGGTCATGATTTTTGAGAACATGCTTCTCATTCACATTGTGGAGCTGTATTGTCGTTCCATTTCTTTGTATGTTGAAGAGTTAATTTAAGCAATAAGCACTGGCTCATTTGGAGAAAAAAAAAATGCTTCATTTTGATTTCTTCTGTCTGTTTCTTTAGTCATCTTCTGAATCTACATCTCTTTGTCTCTATTACTTTCCTCCACAGCACCTTCCCTACAGGGACCTAGGATTTTCCTGTTTCCCAGCTCCCCTACACTCTCTTGTGATTCCCCACATCTTAAAAAGTCCCGTCTCCTCCTCTCGGGGTCTAGCCTTAACCCTCTACACTCTAGCCATGTCAGCCCAGTTGTTCTGAGGAAAAGTGTTTCTTTCACTGAAGAGCTGCTTCTGGCTGCTTCTGGTAGGATCAATCTATTATGGCCTTTTAAAGAAGCTTTTAAGAAAATGTTGTTGTTATTTGATACGGGGGCATTTAACACACAGCCTTCTATAACCCTGTGTTTTTGTTCAGTTAACCTCTGAAAACTGCTGGCTACATGACTATTCATACCATTTCTCACCTCTGCCCCAGAAGCTTGAAACAGCTTCAGAACTTCTTTGTAGGATCTGAAACATATGTCGTTTATGCTACAGAACTTTCTCCTTTTCCCTTGCAAAATTTCCATTGGTAATTGGACTAAAATAGTTTACTTTTTTAAAATCCCTCTCATTCCCTTCACTTTGTTATTCCTGTGTTTTGCATGGAACAAGCACTTGCTCATTAATTCAATCATAATTTATTGAAATAATGACTGTCAGATGGCTAGCAACTCTGCTCTATAAACTTTTAAACAAAGCCCGTACAACATTTTTATTTGTGCTGCCTCCTTTTCCATTTCACTGGCATGCATTATTTTCATAGATTCAAATTAAATAGTTGATGTTACTGCTTTTTTCTGTAGAAACTATTTTGATTACTTTGTACTTTTTGAGTTTGTTTCATGTTCAGTATTTATGCTATGTTTGTCTGTATTTAATATTGTATAGTCCCTGACAACGATGTTTAGAATCAATGCCAAATAGTAAAATCAATTTAATCTTGTTTAATGGGACTATACAGATACTAATCTTTTTGTTTCCTTATCCAAGAACAGCTAAAAATACTTGTTAAAAAATTTAGTATTTTTATATATAATTATATGGTAATGATAGCCTAGCAATTTTTGAAAATGTTAGGAAGGAATTAACATACTTTATTAAGTCCAGTATTATTTCTAGATCTCCCAGTCTTTGGTTAAAACAGATAACTGCACTTTGATGTATATGTACAATCTCATTCATGTTTATTAGATGCTTGTTCAGAAGAAAAAGGAGACCAGCAAGGAATTGATACGTTAAATTAGTTATAAATTCAGTAAAAGAAGATCTTGGCTTCATTCATAACTGTTTGCACTGTAACGTTTGTATTTCATCCTGCTCCTAACACTTTTTTTTATTCTTTATCCTGTGCTTTCCTGTACAATTTAGGTGTTTATTTTTCCTTTGTCAAATTAGCATTTAACGGTTTTAGATAGAAGAAATACCAATGCTAATATGTTTTTAGGCATGAAATATTACCAAGAAAATCTGATTCACCAGCATTGTGTTTACTTTAGGAAAAACACAATCTTGGTATGTGTTTGTTTTTTGCTTTTATGATTTCTAACCATAGAGCAAATAACTTACTGTCATACATATAACCTGCATCTCGACACACTCAGTTGAGAGTACAGTTCCTTGATAACATATAGTTCAATAGTAAAGATATTTATGTATCTGATAAATTTTCCATCTCTTCAGAAAAGCTCCTGTATTGGGGGTTAGGGGTGGGAGTAAAATATATGAAAGAAACAGAGAATTACCCGTTATTATGCAAAATTGGAGTTTATTTCTTGTTTTCATTTGCAGATAATCTGCAGGTTATGTGTGTGCAAATATAGTAATCAAATAAGTGTGGCAGTTCAAAATGCTGAGCAGTAGTCCTTATTTGAATGAATCAGATGAGTGAATATTTCATTGCATAGATATTAAAGAAAATAAAAAATATCAGTAATTTTTTTCAGAGTTTATATTTCAAATCAGAGGACGTGCATTGCCTTTGCAGTTTTCTTTTCAGTCCTAATCATACATTATATAGCTATTGTTGTAATTATGTATACAGTCTCCTTCTAGTATTTAGGAAAGGTGATTTAGTTACTCTGAAACTCTCAGGAAGCCAGATTATTATTATTATTTTGTAAACTGATAATAATAGTAGAGAGAGATACTTGAGTATAGAGTAATCTGGCAGAGAAGCATCGTTCAATAGTGTGGAATTAATGGTGACTTTGCAGCCCTTTTTGATAACAGCTGAAAATCTGATTATGTAGTAACTTCTCTGAAAAGCAGAAAAGGTGGATCTATATTGAAATCATAGGCAAAACTCCCAATAGTAACAAGAAAAAAAAAAGTTATATGTTATAGGAAAGAATTGCAAGCCCAGGTCTTTAAGTCTTGATATTTTGAAGTTTTTTTTTTAAAATTCAGATTAACAGCACAAAAAGATCTTAGGTCAGGGTAGTTTTGTCCTAATGCTAAAATATCACTTCCAGTCATGTGAAAACCAAACCCCAAAACGCTCCCCCTGCCCCCTCAAATTAAACTGTGATGCTCAGCATTTTTTTTCTGAAAATTAAAACTGTGGGGATAATTTTGACTGTTTTCAACTACTATCTTCTATATTTTTAATTCAAAGTTTGATTACTAATATGTTTCTTTGAATGTCATTTGTACTGATACTCTTCAGGAATGGGCAGTGGGAGTGCTGGAAAAGAAGGGGGGCCATTTAAAACTCTTTTAAGACAACAGACTCAGTCAGCTCTGGAACAAAGGGTAAGGTATTTTATACTTACATATGTGATCTACTGAAGTGAAAATTTAGCTTGTAGTAAGTTAAGTATTTCCTGCTACTTTCTGTTTAAAAATATGTGTATTTTTTTGTGTCTGAAAAATTATGGCAAATGCTGAATGCTTAATAGCCCTTTTGCACACAAGTTATTTAAACTGTAAGGTATTAGTAAAGCATTAAGAAAAATGGAGCAAATAACTGTAACGTGCGTAGCACTCAAGTGATTATAGTTGGTGTTATAAGAAACAGTTGTAGCAAAATTACTGCTGTTTCGTCTCTGTAAGTTACTGTTGTGTGTGTAAGTTTAATGCTTTACCATCATGTATTAACTTAAATTTTTACAGAAGCCAAATTCAGAAACATTGGAACAGCTTTAATCCCATTTATAATAGCAAAAACTTTCAGTTTTGAAAAATAGAGTTGATGGGTAATTCAGCCTTCGTTCTGCCACGTGAAATGGCGTGCATGTAGCCTTCGAAAAATGGTAACTTAAACCTAAACCACCTCCCAAGCAACAAAAGGGCTTTCTAGATTTGCAGTTCCTTGAAGAACCTCTGTAGGACTTAAAATGCCATCTGTTACTATGCTGAATAGACTTTATTATAAAAATGGTGGTTTTAATTCTTCATTTGCCTTTTTGAATGAGTCATTGCAACTTTTTTTTATAGATTGTATACTGGTTTTGTCAAAGTATTATTAGTGAAGTGTCTTGAAGGAAGAAATATGAATGTTTTCCTGTTCAGAAATAAATTGTTGTTTAATTACGATTTCTGTCTGAGCCACTTGTGTAGAATCATAAATGTTTATTGAAAACAGAATCAGCTACATCTGTGAAATATAAGCAAATAGCTACTATTTTGAGTAAGTGGATGATTCTCTTCTCATTTTTTGTTATCCGTTGCTAAGGGAGGATCGCCTCATAGGTTCTGTAGAAGGCGGGTATGTTCCAAAACATTGTGTGACTCTCTTTGTAGCCCTTTTTTCTTGTATTGAAGATTTCTAAACAATTATTTGAAATATTTTTATTTTCTTTTTTTGTGAGGTTTTGCAAATTTATTTGTAATCTTGTTTATGCAGGATTTTTTTATATTTGTTCTGTTATTTTTAAAAGCATTTATCAGGTTGGCATATTTTTGCTTAGTATTTTGCATGATGCTATATTTGATTTAAAATTTTAATTTCAAATCCATGGCTTTTTGCTTTTACTATTTTAGTTTGAAAAAAATGCTTTAAAAAAGCTTTTTATCTGTTTATCCTTGTTTCTCCTAGCATTTCAGACATTTCATGGCTGATCTGTTATTTCCTTAGGAAGCTTTTTAAAAACAATTAAAAAATGTAAATTAAGAGCACTTGATGTATTTTTAGAGCTTAAATTATTTGCACGTTGTTTTAAGACCTGCATATTGTCTAGTGGAAAAAAAATATTGTAAAATGAAATGGAAGCATGCTACATCTGTTACTGATGATGTAGCAAAGCATTAATACCATTAATTGATACAAAAAATATGTCCATACTGTCTTTCTGAAAATTTCATATTGGATGTGTTTTTGCTATCATTGCCTCTTATGGTTACTTTAAGGTTGAGTTACTTAACTAGAATGCAAAACACTTAAAAGTTACTTCGTCTGCTTTAATACTGCACACATATATAGTGTACTCCAGTTACTTGTCTGGATTAGTTAGGGTAGCACTGATTTGGGAAGACAAAGAATAAATTCAATATGTATATTTCCACGTGTGTCAGATATATAGTAAGTTCTTTCGAGTCTTAGTTCAGTTTATTTGGGTATATGGTAATACTCTTAAAGGTTCATTTAACTGGATGTCTCCACAGCTTTTTTTTAATCGACTCTGTTTTTAAAGTGTCACTTAAATAACCCTAATTGCAAACCAGAACAGATTTTGTTGGAAGGGTAGGATTACTTGTTTTTTTTTCAGGAAATTACACCAGCCGTGGAAAACTCACATATGTGTTATGTTGTACGTTAATATATTTTTAGCAGTTCACAGGATGCCTGTGGATAGCAGGTTTAACTATAGCACAGCTATCTTTATGTATATGTTTATCTATAAATGTGTATTCTGTCAGTGGGAAAATCTGAGCTTACTTTACTTATAAAAAAAATAGCCTATGTTTTTGTAGAAATGGCCAAATGCTGCTGTTGATGGTATTTTGTCTCTCTGTTGACCTCAACTTGGACATATGCTGTTTTATTCCTCCACATTTGCATTCTGCAAGTGCTTGAGAAATGGTTACTGCTGCCTTTTCAAAATGGAGATCTGTCGATCTTCATCTCTGAAGAGCACTGCTAGATAACTGCCGTGTTAGAGTGCAGTTCTCTGCGTGATTCTTTTGGCTGAAATGCTGACTTAAGCAACTTTTCTTTCCAGTGACTTCTCGTTACGATCCAGCCCATCCCCTCGGTTCAGTTGAAGAAAAATTGTAGGATTGTTTGGCTGCCCTGTGAGATGGCACAGTAAATGTGCTTAGAAAGAAAATAATCAAACCAGGAAATTACCAGTATTATAATATGGACCAGTTCCCTACTCTGGTTCAGCCCCAAAAGCTCTGTGAACATACCTGAGCTTTACGAGCGTTGTCTGAGGGAGTGGTGCAATGATGGGAATGAGTGAATGGCTGGAAGGGAATCTGAGAACTGCTTCAGCTGGCACTAACACCAAATGAGATGTGTGTGTAGCCTTGTTTCATGTGCTTTTTTCATTATTTTGTGTGTCTTTGTATGAAACGTAGTGAAAAAAAAGAATACTGGCAATACATGTATGCATATACACAAATGTTTTTAAACCTTGTATTGAACAAATATTATGAGGATTTTATTGTAACCGTACCAAACTTTCCCCAAATGCCAACTATAAAATCTCTATGTAGTTGCAAGGATTAAACCAGTGATGGTTCTTTCAGGGTCTGTGCAGTCAATGTCTGTGAAATGACATGGCGAATGGGTATTGGTAAAATGGTTGACTGTCTTCAGTTGCAGCTTGGAAACTTTAAGATCATCTTGTCTTCCCACACATGGGAATGAATACTCTGTGCTTCCATCACCTTGATGTAAGGATAGTCTTTTTGCAAATTGTAGTAATAGAGGAGATTTGTAATACGGAAATGCTGCATCTGGTTCTTAGGGAATCTGTTTTCCATGCAATAAGTATAGGATTATAATTTTGAAGTATTGTAGATTACCACATGTAGTTAAGGCCGGAACTTGTATTTGAGTAATATAAAAATAAAACCCCCAAAACCTCTAAATAAGCTTAAAAGTGAAAAAAAGGAAGAAAAAAGCCATCATATGCAGTGATGGAGTTCCACCTGCGTCAGAATGAACGAGACATTGTTAATGGGATAAGAGCATGCCAGAATGGTTCAGTAAGTCAGTTGCCCAGTTTTGTCTATGGCTGAAATTAACTGGTAGGACATAGGTCTGCTTTGAAGTTTTATTCCTGGTTTGTAGTGTAGG